TATTGTATTAACAAATTTTAAACACAAATCACCTGTAATTATAAAATGAAAAGAAGCTGGGCATGGTGGCACATGCCTATAATCCTAGCATTCTGGAGGCTGAGGCAGAAGAATTGCCACAAGTTTGAGGCCAGCCAGGGCTACATAGTGAGTTCATGGGGCCAGGGATTTAGCTCAATGGTTCCGGCGCCTGCTGCGAAAGCGCAAGGTCCTGAGTTCGATCCCCAGTACCAAAAACAAATAAAAACATAGTGAGTTCATGGTCTGCCTGAACTACACTGCAAGACCCTGCCTCAAAAAAAGAAAAGAAAAAAGGAACCAAATAATTCAACTAATTTGCAAGTTCAGAAAATAATCTTATTTGTTGAAAATTATTAGTAACTTTACCTAACAAGATGATCTCTCTTACTTTTAGTTACATAACATTTTTATCATATAGACATCCTAATAGGAAACTTTGGTTCACTAACTGAACAAACATTTGGAAAAGACAGTTTATTTCATAATGAGATCCAGTCTTTGAACTGCTCTTTTAGTTCAATCTATTTAATTACTTTTTTATTAAATAACAACCACAATTGGTACTTCCAACTACAAAGCCATGTGAAAGTCTATCTTATCTCTTGAACATTTTTGACCCAGCTGCTCTCTTGACAGAATCAGAGCTTCCTGTCTAGGCCTGCTGGGGTTTGCATTGGGCAGTGATGGCAAACCTTATAGAGCTTTTAATGATACAAACAGCCCACTACAGCATACATGCCAGAAATTTGCCACCACTGGTATAGGGGATGTGTCTCATGTGCTTTGCTTCTGATTGCTTCTCAAAAATCAACAAATATGTATTACTGTCATTCAGAACAACAGTACAAAAGCAGTTCCACTGAAACACAAATGGACCTCAAACATTCTATTTGTAAATAACACAACATACAATTTTCACTCACAATTTCAGGCCTTTCTTCCAGCACTTACATACAGTTCTTTAATTCAACCCAAAATGTTTCATTAAAAACTGTATCATGATTTTCCCCATTCACAGTACAACTAGGTTTTTTATTGACAACATGGAAAGAAAACCTAATTATTAATGCTTCAGTACATCAGAATTTATTTGATTACCAAAACCAACACAGTAAGGGCTAGATACTGTCACAGAAGAGCAGACGGATATGGAGTATAAACTGCCCTTTCCTCTACTCTTCCTCCCCATACCCCACCCTTCAAAGTTCCATGGTTGGAAATCATCCTAACTTTTTTTAGCCAGGATGTACTAAAATTAGATGGGAACAAAGGCCTGACATTTTCATATTAGCAGAGGGGTTAGGAAGCAAATGTGAACTGGCAGCACCCACACTCATCTACATTTAGTCCCTTCCTCCCAATCCCCTCCTCTCTGAAGCACTACCACAGGGGAGGGAATGACAGCTATCTTGATACTATCTGCGTTTTGCTATTATCTTTAATAATAAACTGCTTTATCTGTAAGTATATTAAAGAAAAGTGATAAATATAGTTCACAGTCTCCTTAGTCAAAACCAGAGTATTTTCCTGTTTCTAAGCCACTCTGATATTATCCAGGATATGCTAATTGCTGGATCGTGTGTAAATGTTTATGTATATAGGAAAATGAATTGATTAAACTTGCTTTTCTTAAGCTTCAAGACAGTATTCACAATAAAGATCACTCAAATAAAATAACATTTGCTAATGCAGTAATGACATTCTAAAAATATAACATGGGTAAAACTTTTCTCCATAAAACAAAATCATTTCTTCTGAAAAAATGTAGATTTTGGTTACTTATATCTTCCTCTAATAAGCTAGGCAAGTAATTTGCAAATACTTTAAATCACAATTGATTGCTTGGTTATAAGTCTTTCTTACAATAGTATCAGCATGACAAAAGTACATTCTGCCAGCCTATACATTCCAATTTTTGAAGTTCTAGTCCATAATAGCAGGATATTGACACATTCATGTCTTGGGAATTATTCCTATCTTTAAATTTGATTTGGGCCTAAACTAGGTGTCCCACACAGTGACAGCTCAAAATTCAGCAAGAAAATCCCTTTTAATGGTTAGTCTAATGCACTATGTTATAAAGATTTTTAAAACTCAGTAAGTACCGACTCGAGCTCTCTTTTTTTTCCGGCTACTAGAGCCCATCTTGACATCTAAGCTGGAAATGAATGATCTTTCAACAACACTCCAGGGATTTTGCTAAGGTCATATTCAATCATTCATTAGGCTTCTTACCCAAAGCTTTTCAGAGTTCCATTGTAGAGCTGGTTTTATTCAGCATTTATGTAGCCTGTGGGCTTGGGTATTTGTCTGCTTAATGTTGAGTTTCATTTCTATGCCCCTAACATAGGACTCCATCAATTGACCAAAGAATTTCAAACTATTCTCTTACTTTTCTAACAAATTGAGTGGTATGTATGAAGAATAAATTAGCATTAATTTTCTTCCATTAACTGTTAATAAAACATGCCCCTGCACTCCTCCTTCTACTGACATCTCTGTTTTCTGCCTAAGTAAAAAAAAAAAACACAACCCCGATAAGATTTCCTAATTTTTTCCCCACTATGCAATTGCCTTTCAGCCTAATATGTTCCATGGTTCCCACAAAGAAACCTTGTCATGGCAGCCTTTTTCCAGGAAAATATACAGGACAAGACTCCTTTCCAAGTCCACCCATACCCCCACTACAATTAGCTGAAGAGGTTGCTATGGTGGAACATAGACACTTGGCTGTCTCTGGAGCACACAGACTAGCTCACGGAGCCAAAAGACAGGAAATCAAAACCCAAGTCCCTCCCCTGGAGTCAAGATGATTGTCCACATTTGTACATATTTTCATTACAGGCCACGAGACAGAGAAACAGCAGATAGACGGGCAGACACACACACACAAACACAAGTCTATAAAATAAAATTAAGAAAACAAAGTCTATTAAGATTAGCAGAGGTGAGGCTGGGGATTTAGCTCAGTGGTTCCACCGACTGGCTAGCAAGTTGATCCCAGTACCAAAAACAAACAAACAAAAAACAAACAAAGATTAGCAGGGGTGCTCTTTATTTCTTTGCATACCAATTTGAGGAAAAAATTTTTTATGGCATCAGGGATCGAACTCAGGACCTTGCACTTTCCAGGCAGGCACGGTGCCACTGAGCTATATCCCCAGCCTCTTGAGGAAAATTATTTTAAGGCTATATAAAAATTACTGATGTAGGTTTCTTAAAAATTAAGTTTTCTATTGTACTCTAGGTGAATATACAATGAGGCCAATATCCAATACTGTATTACAGTTAGAAATTTTAAAATAGATTATAAGTGAATTAGAGCATATTATTCATAAAATGATTATCTTTTGTATATGTTTAGCAACCTTCTCTCAAAATAAATAAAAGATTGCATATATATCATAGATGAAGGAAAGCAAGATTTTTTTCTGCTATGATATGGAAAAAAATCAGTTTGTATTTATTTCTATTTATTTATTTATTTATTTATTTTGGTACTGGGGATCGAACTCGGGACCTTGCACTTGCGAGGCAGGCAGCGGAACCACTGAGCTAAATCCCCAGTCCTGTATTTATTTTATTTTTTTGGTACCGGGGATCGAACTCGGGACCTTGCACTTGTGCAGCAGGCGGCAAAACCACTGAGCTAAATCCCCGGCCCCCTATATTTGTTTTTAAATGGCTTTAGTAGCTGCTAAGCGTAGTGTCAGGTTTGATCCCCATATACATAAAATGCTAGTCCCCCAAAATAACTCTTAATTTGTGCACTTGCCTTAAAACAAAATGTTTTTAAAACTGTTAATTGGTGGAGTCCATCCATTCAAGCTTCAGTTCCCTTTGGACTTGCATACGCACTTCCTACATACAGAAGTGGCCTGTTATGCACCAGTAACATGGTGAAAAGCAACAGCTGTAAGCAGGCTTCTCAGAGAAATCTTGTTTGCATTTCAAACAAGTTTCCTCAAAATAAGTGCATTTTGATTAAATAAAATTACAATTCCAACTTCTTATCCATGGAAAACAGCATTCATTACATAACTTACTGCTCTTTTTTATAACTGTAATTTTGTTCATAGTTGCCCACCTATTCATAAGATTTAATAATACTGAGTTTAATAATATAAAGTTTTAAATATAAGTTTTAAAACAAATGTATTTATAGTTTATTTCATTAACAGTGGCATTTAATGGTCTGGTTCCTAACAGCTTGGTATTATTTGAAAATACTAATTTCATGTTAGCATTTTATACCTTCCATTTATTCTGATTTCAATCCTTAAGAAGCTGCCTTCTAGCAAGATTAAAATACTAAGAAGAATGACAATTCCCTTTTCCTAATCTTATCAACAGCTCCATGAGTCAAAAAAGAATTAAAAAGCCTTTACCTTTGCAAATGGAACAAACATGCCCCACCAGGGACTCAAACATCTTTTTTTTAAACAACCCATTCCAAGTTTTCTGTGAATCAAACTCAATGTCTCAGTCTAGTCATATGTAGAAAGCCTATTTTGTTGGATTGGTAATATATATAACCACTTGAAATTCTAAAAGATTACTTATCTGTTAGTTCAAAAGACAATGTGAAAAAAACAAAACAGGTTTCCTCAATAAATTATAAAACTATATGTTGCTGCAGTCTCAGAAAACCAACATAATTTTTAAAATGTTTAAATTGGATATATTTTGAAGTAATTTCTCACTTATTATACTTTATAAAAGCTTTCCCAGGGGGCCGGGGATTTAGTTCAGTGGTTCTGCTGCCTGCCTCGCAAGCATAAGGACCCAAGTTCAATCCCTGGTACCAAAAAAACCAGAAAAAACAAAAAGCTTTCCCAGGGCCAGGATGTAGCTCAGCAGTGCAGCGCCTGGCTAGCAAGAGCTAGGCCCTGAGTTTGATCCCTGGTACCAAAAGAAGAAAAAAGAAAAGACCAAAAAAAAAGCTTTTCCAAAACTGCTGTTTTTGTCCAAAAGTCCATGTAATGAACCATTAATGGTTAGTGTTGATCTAAGACTCATACCACCCTCAACCCTCAAAAAATAAAAAGGAAGAGCCAGGCTTGGTGGCACACACCTGTGATCCCAGCGCTCAGGAGGCTGAGGCAGCAGGATCACCCCCCCAGCTACATAGTCAGTTCAAGGCCCGCCTGAACGTAGTGAGACCCTGTCTCAAAAAAAAAAAATTTTTTTAAGGATATAATGCTATACTTAATAATGGAGAAACATTTACTAAATAACAAAAATTGTGAGTTTTATAATCCAGTAGGCCCAAAAAGCTGAACAATCATCAAAATTACATAACTTTTTAAAACCTTGCATTATGACTCCAATATTAAAACACTACCCCAATGCAAAATGGCATTAAGTATTATCTTTCTTGTTGTTGTTATTGTTGCAATACTGGGTATTAAACTCAAGGCTTTGGGTACATGCTAAATGCTACACCAATGAGGTATATCTCCAGCCTCCTTATCTTTTCAAAGCAATATGTAAATACACTATCTTGCTAAATTAGCCCCTAACTAGAACATTTGCCTCTATATCCCTAAGGGCTTCTCCCAGAAGAATGACAAAATTCAATTCTTTTTTGTTTTAGTTTGGTTTCTGTTTTGTTTTGTTTTTTGGGTTTTTGTTTTTTGTTTTTGTTTTTGAGACAGAGTTTTGCTAGGTAGTTCAAGCTGGCTTCAAACTTGCAATCCTCCTGCCTGAGTCCCCCAAATGCTGGGATTACAGATGTGTACCACCAAGCCTGGCAATAAATATTTCCTGATCAACTGATACATTTATTTGATTTTGCCTAATTACATATGTGAAGGTCAGGAAGTTCTTCCCAGCTGTTAAAGTATTTTAAAAATAATCACCATTCAACTCAAAATAGTATTTTTTATTGTTTCATATTTTAATAAAACACTAAGAAAGTTATTTTGTTATGCTGGCCCTGGAATAGTTTGGTGAAATCTTCCTAAACAGCTATACTGAATTCAACTTTACCAAGGCACGAAAATCAAGAATACAGGCTTTTTGTTAATTCATTTACTTAAAGCTTTTAACTGTTTAGCAATTATAGGAAATTGTTTAAAGGTAAACAATGGAAAAAATATTTACATTTCAAGTATAAAAGCAAATTTATTCATCAGTCTCTTAAAAGCAACCACTTATATACTCATGATTTTTTTTCACCATCCCATTATAACTAGTCACCATGTGTATCCTGTGTACTTACTAAACACTTATTTGCACTTGTATTTTCTGTATTAGATATACTTTGCTGTGTAGCTTCTTTTAAAAAGCTACCTGAATTTGTCCAAGGAAAAGTCTCACTTTTTCTGGAAAACCAACGCTGCTACACTGTTTCCAGATCTGCCTCCAAAGCTGAACGTGGGTGTTGGCAGCTCTTCAAAAAGTTCAAATCCTGTTGGACAAAATTAAAATACTTTTAATTAGGGATTGAATCTCAGTTAAGGGAAATTTGTATTAACATTGTACTTTTTATTTTTGTGGTTCTGGGTATTGAACCTAGGGCCTCACACATATCACATACATACTAGGAAAGCCCTCTACTATTGAGCTACACCCCCAGCCTTTTTCTTTTTTATTTTAAGACAGAGTCTCATTAAATTTGAGGCTGGCCTCAAACTTGTGATCCCTGTTCCTCCGCATCATGTCCGGCTAACATTTACTTTCAAATCCCTTATAAGGGCCAGGAATTTAGCTCAGTGGTTTTGCCACCTGCTGTGCAAGCACAAGGACCCGAGTTCGATCCCCAGTACCAAAAAAAGAAAAAAAAATCACTCCACAAATCCCTTATAAAACTGATTTCAAACTCTGAATGGTGATTGAATTTCATTTTGTGATTTTCTATTTCTACTATGAGTGCATGGCGTGTGTGCAAACCCAAAAAACATTTTGAAATGAACAAGGAACAGACAACACCAAAAACAAATTGCAAAAAAAGACTCCCTCTCAATCTATTTCCTCCACTTCCTGTTTACCATCCCTTCCACCTACATCTCTCTTACCCTATTTCACTGCCTTCTTTACAGGAAGCAACTATCATGTATTGAATTCTTACCATGTGTCAGGCACTGTTTTTTATATGGTTTTATTACAGGAATTCAACTAATCCATATCACACATATAAAAGTGCTTAACACAGAAAGGTTTAAAAAACCTGGAAGCAAAAGTGCATTTGTAGAAGATGAAAACATTCTGGGGATGAATGGTGAGGACAATTGCACAATGATGTCAGTGTACTTATTCCTCTGAACTGTACACTTAGAAAGTGATTGAAATGGTAAAATCTTATGTGTTTTACCACAAGTTTTAATTGAAATTTTTTTTTTTTGGTACCAGGGATTGAACTCAGGACCTTGCGCTTTCGAGGCAGGGAGCAGAACCACTGAGCTAAATCCCTAGCCTGGGACCTTGCACTTTTTTTTTTGGTACCGGGGATCGAACTCAGGACCTTGCACTTGCAAGGCAGGCGCCGGAACCACTGAGCTAAATGCCCAGCTGGACCTTGCACTTTTGAGGCAGGCGGTGAAACCACTGAGCTAAATCCCCAGCCCGTTTAAAAAAAGAATTTATAACAAAGTTCAAAACCCAAACTGAACCAGTAAATTGGTCTTGGAAAAAAACAAACTAGTAATTTTCCATGCAGCACAGTGTGGTTATTCAAAAACAAAACAAAACTAACTTGAAGTCAAATGTCCTGAGTTCAAATGTGAGCCTTCCCACTTATTAATTGAGAGATATACGGGTCAAGACACCTTCTCTAGACTCCTGAATTCAATGCAAGGAAATTACAGATACCAGTGTCCCCTATGGAACTCAGTGATTTGTAAAGATCCCAATAAAACAATGTGGTGTTTTTCTAAACTATAAAATAAGATGCAAATATAACATTTTATTACTTTGGTTTCAAAGAATAAAACAGTGCTGGGCATATAGTTAGTTCACCCATAGAACACTTGCCTAACATGCACAATGGCTTGATTCCTAGCACCCCAAAAAATAAACAGAAAATAAAAATTTTAAAATGTTAACCAAGGTTTCCCTTTAGTGACAGGACTAACAGTTTGAGAGGATTTTTATTTGTTTCCGTGCTCTGAGTTCAAATAACTATTGTAAACAGAAAAAAAATGTTTAAAAGATTATATATTCATATCAACTAGATTTTTATATTTTGTGTCATTACATATTCTAATTCATATTCTTTATCAAACTTCACCAAATCTCCAGTTTTGTTGTTGTTGTTGGTTGTTTTTTGAGACAGAGTCTTACTATGTAGCCCAGGCTGGCTTTGAACTCTCTATCCACCTGTCTGAGCCTCCTAAATGCTGGGATTACGGGCATGCATGCCACCATGACCAGTAAACTTCACCAAATCTTAATAAATATTAAGATACTCATTAAAAATATTCAAAAACACAAGCACAAGGACCCGAGTTCGATCCCCGGTACCAAAAAAAAAAAAAAGAAAAAGAAAAATTCAAAAACAGATCACCAGGCATAGTGAAGCACACTTGTAATCCCAGCACTTGGGAGGCTAAGGCAGCTAGATCGCCACAAGTTCGAGGCCAGCCTGGGCTACATAGTTCAAGGCCAGCCTGAACTACATAGTGTGAGTTCAAGTCCAGCCTGAACTACAAAGCAAGACCCTGTCTCCAAAAAGAGTTGTTTTTTTTTCAAAAAGAATTTTTTTTAAAAAAATCAAAAAACAAACAGGAGCTGGGGGATTTAGCTCAGTGGTTCTGCCACCTGCCTCACAAGTGCAAGGTCCCGAGTTGATCCCCAGTACCAAAAACAAACAAACAAACAACAACAACAAAACCAGATCATACACTGGGCACAATGGTGCATGCCTGCAATTCAAGACCTTGTATCAAAACAAAATATTTCAAAGGGGCTGAGAGGTAGGTTAATGGTAAGAGTTTCTGGGTTCAATCCCTAGTATTGCAAAAAAAAAAAAAAAAAAAAGATAGTAAGAAAACTTTCTCAAAGAACAGGCATTTGAATTAGCATGATGTCTACGGCCATACCACCCTGAATGCACCCAATCTCGTCTGAAATAGCATAATGCATGATATACTTTAATGTTGGAAAATGGAACCACTGTATTAGGTACATGGGCACACACCCATATTTGTTTTCAGAGATTTTTTACATATGCTTAAAATGAACATTTTCAAGATACAATGCAGTGGTATCAATTTTCCAGAACTAATTTTTTAAGTCCCTGAACCTAAACCTATAGAAGTTATGTAAGATTTCAGTATATAATGCACCAGAATCTTTTCTGGGGGAGGAGGGAGATACTGGGGATTGAACCTAAGGCCTTTGCACTGAGCTACATACATCTCAGCCAGTTTTTATGCGTTGTTTTTTTTTCTTCTTTCTTTTCTTTTCTTTGAGAGGTTTTTCAAAGATAGGCTCTTGTTATGTGGCCCAGGCTGGCCCTGAATTCACTATGTAGCCCAGGCTGGCCTCGAACTCATGGTGGTCCTACTGCCTCAGCCTCCTGAATGCTGAGATTACTGGCATGCGCCCAGCTATGCTTTTTATTTTGACACAGGGTCTTACTAAGTGACTAAATTGCCCAGTCTGGGCTCAAACTTGCCTCCTGCCTCAGCCTCACAGAATGCTGGGATTATAGGTGGATGCCACCATGCTCAGTCAAAATCTTAACTAGTGATTGTATTCCATTGATGGTTAACAGAGGATTTTAGTTGGCCATGGTGGTGCACACCTGTAATCCCAGTACTTGGGATGCCAAGGCAGGAGGATCACTGAGAGTTCAAGGACATCCTGGGTTATACAGTGTTATGGCTTGTGTCTAGATGTCCCCCTAAAAGCTTCATGCAGTCATAGGTGGGGCTTTTCAGAGGTGGCTGAATCCAGAGTGTGTGACTGATTCATGTTGCAATGCTAGGATGAAGGGTGCTAGGATTAAGGGTGGGTGATTACTAAATCAGTCCACTGATTGGTTTGGCACCTCCCTAATCCCAGTAGACTGGATACAATATAAGGAACAGAAAGACGTTTGTCTTGTCTCTTGTTTGCTTTGCTACCTTCTGCCTCCCATGAACTGTTTCTTCTCTGCTATGCCTGTCTGCCATCCACCCTGCCTTGGAGCCAGGAGATTATGGACTGATTCCTCTACAAACTGTGAGCTTAAATAAATCTTTCCTCCTTTAACTTTTGAGTGTCAGGTATTTTGTCTCAGCAACAAGAGTAAAGTATCTAAGACACATAGTGAGCTCAAGGCCAGACTGAACTGCATAGCAAGACCCCTCAAAAAATTTAGTAAGTTTAGTCTATATGCTTATGTGGTGAGGTTACTAACATTTTCAACTTTTTCACAATGAATCTAGATTACTTTTATAGTAAAATACATTGCTGTTGTTTTAATTCAGTCTTTGTAATAAAGTTAAGCCCCTTGGATATCAAATTAGAACACTATGATATCTGACAACTGATTCAAGTTGACCCTCCCTGAACAAATTACAACACAAAATGTTTACACTGTATGAATAGTGCTACCAAGGAAAAAATGCAAGATTAATTTCAACAGTTTTATGAATATTTACACTTAAAATAAGAAAAGAACTTAAAAAAAAATAGTAAGGCCAAGAGAAATGTACCAGCCATCTGAGTAGCTAGTAACAATCTTTGACAGTGATACATGGCAGGGTACTGTTACTGTCCTGCATCTAACTCTAAACACCATCTTCTAAGAGACTCATGCCTAAAAAATATGTCATCAATGGTATGTAATTATTTCTTTAACATTTCTTTTTATAACATTTCACTTATTTTAACTCTGTATTTAGTTCTAAAATTGAACATAAAGAGTTTACTCAACAGTTCTCAGACACAGACACATTTTAAAATATGCTATATACCAGGCTAAAGTCTGTTCCTCATTATCAAAGACAGACAAATATGTTTTTGTCTGCTGGTTCAAGGAGTAAAAGAGAACACCTGTATTTAAAAACCAGGAAAGGGACTTGCCCTACACAGTACAACTCTGAGCATTTATTAAAACTGTCAAACTTCGGAAGAAGGAAAGACGATTGATATGGGGCTTCAGCAGTTCTAAAGGAAGTATTTAACATGGAAGATAATAAAATTAACAGCATAAAATAAAAGACAATAAATCACATATAACTCTTATTTTCCAGAGGCAATGGTAATGAAGCCACAAGCTCACATTTCTAGCCTCAAACACTGCAAGTTTTACATTATATAACCTGTCAAACTCTCTGAATGCACACAAAGGGGCATGTGTTAAGTGTTCTCCCTGCCTGGTCCCTTAATACCAAAAAGAAAAATCTAAGATGCAGCCCATGCAGTATAGTTATAAATAACAGTACACAGGAAACTGCTCTCTTGAGGTAAATCACCCATTAGCTTATAACAATTGAGGTTCAAAATTTAATCAAATATTTAGTACCATATCATTTACTTAAGACTCCATCCTAAAAATTCCTATTGCCCTCCAAAATACATACATGCATACATACTAATCTGAAAAGAATTCCAAGAAAAAAGTAAGCAAATACCTGAAGATTTTCAAAATACTTTCCCAGAAATGTCTCTGCACTTCACAAATACGTTGGCAGACAAAATATTCCCTAAAATATGCAAGGCACAATCAACCAGAGAACTCAAAATGTTTTGTGTATAAATTATAGATTCTCAATGTTCACATGATCCTATTTAGTACAGCTTAATTATACTTGGCTAATGGGGTAAAAAAGGATCCTAAGTTGGTATCCAAATGGAGAAAAAGGAAGCAATTTCCTCAAGAATTAGGAAATATTAGGAAACTTATGTAGAACTTCTACCATTCCCTATATTTTACTTCTGAGCAATGTTAAAAATAATTGTTCTGTGGGGGCCAGGGATTTAGCTCAGTGGCAACACGCCTGCCTTGCAAGCGCAAGGTCCTGAGTTCGATTCCCAGTACCAGAAAAAAAATTGTTCTATATATGCTGAAAACAAGAAGATAAATCCTAAATTAAATGACCACTAAAGTAGACATAAAAGTATCTATAAAATTGAAAATATCAGCAGGGCCTGGTGGCATACACCTATAACACCAGTACTCTGGAAGGCTGATGCAGAAGGCAAGTCTGAGCTCTGCCTGGTCATCAACTTAGCAACTTAGTGAGACAGCTGTCTCAAAAGAAAAAAGAAAAAGACTAGAAACACAGCTCAGTACAAAGGTTCTGTTCAATCCCAGTACTAGGAAAAAAAGAAAAAACAAAAATCTCATCACATAACATCACACAAGACTTTAAAATATACTACTTCTATTTGCATTATTAGAGATTTGCCAGTGAAATTAGTACACTAAAGTCAAAAGCATAATACATGTGCTTTTTTTTATTCTCTAAATAATAGATTGTATAGCTTAAATAAAAGATTGGATTGCTTAAATAAAGAACTTGATTTTACAGGCTCATAAATTTTAGTACTTAACTGCCAAGATTTCTGGGAAAATTTTTAAAAAGCGCTCTGGATCTCAACCAATGTTATTTCTCTGTGCTTTGTATATACAGTTAAAAGTTATTACCAAGGAAATTAACAGAGAAGAAAAGCAGACAATTCCCACAAATAGGAAAGTAAAACACTGTAACACCAAGGGGGAAAAAAACCTACTTAAGTACAAGAAACCTGAGGTAAGTGCACATTTAAACACCATGTAGCCATTTACCTTCACTGAATTCATTTAGCAACTCTTCCTTGGTCCAGTTACATGAAGTTATTAGAAAAAAGCCTTTTGCTTTCAACACCACAGAGAGAGATTTCACATATTGCTTCCTCTTCTCAATTGCATTGTCAGGATTAAGACTTATGGCATCAAAAGTCCCTTTGTCAATACAAATTTGAAATCCAGACAGCTTTGTAGAAAGATTCAAAAAGTCTTCTACCTATATTAAAAATCAATGTCTGTGTGAGAACAATTAACACAATCTTTATAGAATTTAAGTGACAACCTATAAAAAGTTATGGATAAAAGGGCTCATTAATTATGATGGTATTTTACATATAATAAACATATCTGCTATATTATAGTTAACTTTATGAGCTTCATTCCAAGATCATTAAAGCCAAGATTAGTAAGAGAGGTTGACGTTTCCTGAACATTTCAAATCTCTACAAATTTGGAAGCATATCAAAGCCCAATAATAGCAGCACATTATTAGCAGCTCACACTCCAGATTTATGAACATGTTGCTTGTCAAAAGTAAAATATTTACACTGGGCCAGGGATTTAGCTCAGTGGTTTCTGCCACCTGCTGCGCAAGTGCAAAGACCCGAGTTCGATCCCAGGTACCAAAAAAAAAAAAAAAATTTACATTGGGTATGGTGGTGCACTCCTGTAATCCCAGGACTCTGGGAGGTTGAGACAGGAGGATTGCAAATTCGAGCCCAGCCTGGGCAATGTAGCAAGATCCTATCTCAGAGTAAAATAAAAGGGCTGGAGATACAGCTCAGTGCAAATGCCTATCATTCCAACACCATTAAAAAAAAAAAAAGTAAAATATTTGACATATTTATCAAAATGACAAAATATATTTGGAACTCAGGAAATAAGATTTTTAGCTTATATTCCTAGTTGTGTGACCTAAAGTGAGCACGGTAAATCAGAAGTTCTTTTGCTTTGACTCAGTGGCTTGCAAAGCTACTAATGGATATATGAATGGTAGGAAGCTTAGAAATTAAATGACTGTTCAAACTATAATTACTTAAGTTGGTAAATATCCTGCACTTTAAATTTTTAGTCATACATCAGCATCCATTTCTCAATAACCTGATATAATTTAAGTATCTGAAACAGTGATCTGTATCAACTTTATACAGTAGTTTCAAAAATTTGCCAATGAATTTAACCCTGAACAGCTACTTTGAAAAACAAAATTAGCTCATGATTATTCATATAAATTTAATAAAGTAATCATAAATAGAATTTTATCTTAAACTGCTGTTGGCCTGGCATGGTGCCAATACACCTGTCATCCCAGCACTTGGGAGGCTGAGGCAGGAGGATCGCCATGAGTTCAAGGTCAGCCTAGACTACATCGTTAAGTTCAAGGCCAGCCTGAACTATACAGTGAGACTTGGTCTCAAAAAAAAAAAAATCTAAAACTCCGACTTAAATCATGTGGACACTACAAAGCATCCCTGCATTCAATCCCCAATATTGAAAAAAAAAAAGTAGATATTATGAATTTATATTAGAAGATGGGGTTTTTTCCTTTTCCTCATGTCCAAAGTATTTATTATACATGCTACTATTCTGAAGAACTAACTTTGGAGAAGCTTTCTCATCCTAAATATTTGAATAAAAGTACTCCTGTATTCAGCAAACATTTTGTAGGTACTTTCCAGATACAGGATTAACAGTGAATAAAACAGAGAGCACCTTTACTAGTCTACATACAGGGAGACAAATAAGTTCCTATAGTTGGAGTGTGTCCTCCAGAATAGATCACATGTTAATGGTATTTGGTTTTTATTGTTGTTGTTTATATTTTTGTATTTGTTTTGTTTTTGTTACTGGGATATGGAAGTGGGGCCTTTAGGGGGTCACTGGGTCATGAAGGTGCTCTCTTCATGAGTGGGTTAATGGCCTACTGAAGGTGTGGCTTTGTTATAAAGCAAGCTCCATCTGGCATGCTTGCTCTGTCTCACCATGTGTTCTTCACCACCAAATTATTATTCAGGAAGGTCCTTGCTATATGCTAGTGCCGTGGTGTTAAGACTTCCCAGCCTCTAGAACTCTAAGCTAAATAAACCTCTATATTTTATAAATTACCCAGCCTGTGGTATTCAGTTGTAACAACAGAAAACAGGCTAAGACATACACTGAACAAAGAAAATAAAAACAGTAATAACACAGTGAGTGACTGGGAAGACAATATTTTGGAAAAGGGTTCTGGAAAGTCCTCTCCAAAACGGTGATTATCTAGGGGCTGGGGATTTAGCTCAGTGGTTTCGCCGCCTGCTGCGCAAGCACAAGGACCCGAGTTCGATCTCCGGAACCAAAAAAACAAAACAGAAAAAAAAAAAGGTGATTATCTGAGCAGAGATCTGAATGATAATGATGAAGCAAACATGTTGGGGCAAGAACAGTCTGGGCAGAAGGCAACAGGTATAAAGACTCAAGAACATGTTTCAGGAACCTAGAGCCAGTGTGACTGGAGGACTGCATAAAGGGGGAAAGAAGAAATGAGGGACTTAGCAAAACTGGGTGTGGGGTTAGATTCCATTCTGAATGCAAAGAGAAGTCAATAGAGGGCTGTCAGCAAGGATGTGACATGAACTGCTGGGTATGGTGGCCATATGCTATAATCCCAGCACTGTGGAAAGCTGAGGCAGAAGGACTGCAAGTCTGAGACCGGCCTGAGCAACTTACCAATTGAGTAAGACCCCGTCTCAAAATTGAAAAAAATTTTTTAAAAAACAGGCTGAAGATGTAGCTCAGTGCAAAGGCCCTGCGTTTAATCTCCAGTACTACCAAAAAAAAAATTACTCTGGCTAGCCTGTAGTACATGGAATCGGGCTTCATGTGTAGAAATGGGGAGCTAACTAAAAAAGCTGCTTGCTGTGGTAGTTCTGTGGTAGTTTAGGCAAAAAACAATGGTAGCTCAGACCTGGCAGCTGAAAATATCAAGAAGTGTGCACATTCCTGATATATTCTGAAAATAAAAAAGAATTGGACATGGGCGCTTTTTTTCCTGCTTGTTTGAGCAGTTCAGGCTGGCCTTGAACTCACTATGTAGCCCAGGCTGGACTCAAACTCACAGCAGTTCTCTTGCTGCAGATTCCCACATGCTGGGATCAACAGCTTGGATATGGGATTTTAAAAGGAAGAATGAAGGCTGACTCCTTAAATTAGTGCAACAGGGTGAGCAGAGGTGAAAAAGACTGGCGAGAACAGATTTAAGAAGGAAACCAAGAGTTTCATTTTGGACTCATTAATTTGAGAGAATGTTAACCATCCAAGTAGAATTTATAATAATAGGCATCTTTTTTTTTTTTTTTGGTACTGGGGATCGAACTCGGGTCCTTGTGCTTGCGCAG